CATCTCTTTTTTGGCACAATTATTCGCCACCTCCCAGTTCTTGCAGGATCGGTCTGTGCCGTGGGAACAAGTAGTGTGCCTCGGGGAGGGCAGGCTGTTGGTGGCAGGTCCCTTCCCGTGCTTTACCTGTTCTCCTGCTGTGTCCACAACGCTCTTTTGCAGTGTAGTAGCTGTCGCTTTCGCTTTGTGTGTGTGTGTGTGTGTGCATCTCTCCTCTCCGAGAGCGCTGGTCCCTGCTTGATGTTGGCCTCTGCCCGTGATCGTCCTCCCCGTTGTCTCGCTGTCTGTGTGTGTTTCTAACTGACTGTGCTATCTCTGTCTGTCTCTATCTCAGCTTGACGCGGACGACGAAGCAGCGGTACGCACACCTTTTCTTTCGTTGGGTCCGTCTCCTCGTTAGCAACCTCTCTTTTGTCGTTCTTGAGGGTGGCACACGCTGCAGCCGGTGCAGCGGAGGAGGAGGTCCGGGCGCTGTTGGTCTCGGAGCACCCTCGGGTGCGCCTGTGTCTGCCTGTGCTGCGCTGCGGGCGGCGAAGGCTGGGGGCGGCGGGGAGGGAGGGGGCTGCGTTCCTGCACCGCCGCGGACACGCGCATCGCCTCTCGGTGAGCGCGCTCTCCTGGGGGTTGTGAAAACGCGGTGGCCTGGTCTGGAAGACCAGGTCAGGGGTGTTGGTTCTGCCCTGCCAGAAAGAAGGCGGTTAGCAGCAGATTTCTGGGCTGATGCGGTGGTGTGAGCTCTTGCGGCTGCCGGGGCCGAGCGAGGAGGTGGGTCGCATGGCGAAACCTGCTATTGCAGAGGAGCATTTCCCTTGAGAGGTGCAGAAAGAGGAGAAGAGGGCCAATCGTCTGGTCCTGCCCCAGCCCCCGCGGCCTGGGGAGAGGCTGGGGCCGTGTAGGCTGCCCCGTGCCGCGGGGAGCGAGCTTAGGTCTGGGGGAAAAATTGTATTGGAGAAGAAGCAACGAGACTGTGCCCAGTCTGTCCGTCCCCATCCCTCGTACCAGGAGACACGCGGACCTGCTCGCGCCGCTCACCGGGGCGCCCCGTGCGATGGGAGAGGCTGCAGAGGTGGTGCAGCTCCTTTGCCTGCCCGCGCTGGCCGGGCACGGCACAGGCGAGCTGTCCCCCTCTGGCTGTGGGGTCCCGGAGAGCCCTCGTGTGCTGCGTGGCGGTGCGGGTCTCGGGGCTTGCTGC